GTTATTGAATGGAATAAGCCAACTCATTAACCTCTAAAGCTTTGTTTCTAACAATTTCTCTTCATAAATCTTAAACTTCTGCTGTGAAGAAATTTATTTAGTTTATTAACATTTTGGATTATTTGTTATATTTATGCTTACTGCTCTGGTTTTTCTCTATGGCAAGGCAAACCGTAAGAATTTTAAATAAAAAATGTCAGTGAAATGCTAGTCAACTGGATCCTTGTCATTTGAGGTGTAAAATTTCAAACTAATTGTTCTAATAACTTGAAAGGTCGCTTCGACCGAGAGGTGGACATCGGCATTCCTGATGCAACCGGGCGACTTGAGATCCTCCAGATTCACACCAAGAACATGAAGCTGGCTGATGATGTTGATCTTGAACAGGTGCGTAGATAAAACATGTTTTGGACCACTAAATACTGTGGCACTAAATACTGTGGCACTAGATACTGTGGCAAAAACAAAGAAAGAAAACAAAGTACAGTGGTACCTCAGAACTCAAACTTAATCCGTTCAGAACTCGGGTTCAAATCCTAAAAAGTTCGAGTTCTGATCGAATTTTCCCCGTAAGAAATGATGGAAAACCAATTAATTGGTTCCTGGCCCAAATAAATTACACCTAAATGTTTTTGTTTTAGCATTTAAACACAAAATGAACAGGATAAAACAAGAAGAACATTTGTTTTCTTATTGGCTTCCAATACGATAAAGAATGTACCCCAACACTACCCCAGTCCTGCCCCGCTCGTCTGCTCCTTCCGTGTGCCACGCCCCCTCGTTAACCTCGTGTGGAATCCCTATGTGATCAGCTGTTTCTGGTTGTTGTCATTAGTCCTCTGTATTTAGTCCGCGTTTCAGCTTGTTTCCCCAGTCCGGTCATTGTAACGTCATTGTGTTGTTCTGCCTGTTCTCAATTAAACCCCATGTTTCCCGATCGCTTCAGTCCTATCCCTGCTTCCCCGGTCCCGGCTCGGCAGATCGTGACAACCCCAAGCCACGCCCCAACACTGCGCCAACACTAGACTATGCCATGCGATCCATTGTTTATTTTTATCATTACTCTGTATTCGTTAATTTCTTTGTAAATCGCAAACTTTTAGGTTGTAACACCTGCATTTCTGTTAATGTATTTTTTAAAGTATCCATCTCCATAAGATGTATTTGTGCTGTGTGAGGCCTGTAAATTTCATGTCATTGCCAAAAGGCTGCAGAAACCGGGCATAGAAATGTCTCACACACAGTATGAGAGAACATCAAAGACCATTAGCTACAAACCATGATGAAAAAGTTTATAAAATTTTAATTAAATTTGTATTTCACAAAGTAAAAAGAGGTTACAGTAAAAGTAATTGTGAAAGTGTATGGGGAATGTCATTTGGTTTTTTATTGTGTTGGCTTTGGATAACTAATGTGGCAATATTTCCTTTAAGATTACATCACACATCTGATGTTCCAGGTTGCCAATGAGACTCATGGTCATGTGGGAGCCGATCTTGCTGCCCTTTGCTCAGAGGCTGCTCTGCAGGCCATCAGAAAGAAAATGGATCTCATTGATCTGGAGGATGAAACCATTGATGCAGAGGTCATGAACTCTTTGGCAGTCACAATGGATGACTTCAGGGTAAGTTGAAATGCTTTTATTTTGGGATATTTGTGCATTTTACGGTCAGTACTCATTTTACTTAACAGATCTGCCTAAAAATTTCAGATTTTATATTGGTATTTTAATGTTTTTAGTGGGCCCTGAGTCAGAGCAACCCCTCAGCCTTGCGAGAAACGGTGGTGGAGGTGCCTAATATCACCTGGGAGGACATTGGTGGACTGGAGGATGTGAAGAGAGAGCTACAGGAACTTGTTCAAGTAAATAACAAATGTCTCTTTTCAGTTGTCCATCTGGTGGGGACGGGGGATGTGTCTGGTAGGGGCTCAACCCCAGTAGGGTTGCCATTTTCAGTCTGAAGAAATCCTTAAAGTGCCCCCCCCCCTGGATTATCTGTATCAGATGTGTTAAATTAGGGCTGCATCTAAGCTTTGCAGGGTGGTAGTCCTCCAGGAGCAGGAATGAGCAAATCTCGTCTATGGTATTATGGTTTGGTTTAGGGTTTATGGTAATTACCCATATTATTTAGTGCTGTATGCTCAGCCATGTGAATTAGTCTGTTTCTTAAAGTGCTCTTATGTTGTCCTGTAGTACCCTGTTGAGCATCCAGACAAGTTCTTGAAGTTCGGCATGACCCCCTCCAAGGGGGTTCTGTTCTATGGTCCTCCTGGCTGTGGTAAGACTCTGCTGGCAAAGGCCATTGCTAATGAGTGTCAAGCCAACTTCATCTCCATCAAGGGCCCAGAGCTGCTCACTATGTGGTTTGGAGAGTCTGAGGCAAATGTCCGGGAGATCTTCGACAAGGTATGGTACACATTTACTCAAACAAATGGACCAAATAATAAATACATGAAGCTCTACTGTTCAGTGGTAGCCAGTTCTGGGGCTGAATTTCTTAAGCATGAAAGTTTCAGGATTATTTATGGATTAAATAGTTGACTTTTTTAAACTTCAGGTGAACCTAATTTATCATTGATTGGTTTGAACTTTGTATTCCTAACATGCTATTATGAAACGGCATACATCTTAAATAACGCTTGATTCTGTGATATCAAATGTATCTGTAACTGAAGCTTTTGCATAATAAACTAAATTACGAAATAGTGTTTACTAGCATCTGTAGCTTGACTTTCAAGACTTCTTTTGAGGGAGAAAAAAGTAATACTCTAAAATCTATTGTCAGGCACGTCAAGCTGCCCCTTGTGTCCTGTTCTTCGATGAGTTGGACTCCATCGCCAAGGCCCGTGGCGGGAGCATCGGAGATGGCGGTGGTGCAGCAGACAGAGTTATCAACCAGATCCTCACAGAGATGGATGGAATGTCCAGCAAGAAGAATGTATTCATTATTGGTGCCACCAACAGGCCAGATATCATTGACCCTGCCATCTTACGGCCTGGGCGGCTGGACCAACTTATTTACATCCCTCTTCCTGATGAGAAGTCCCGAATTGCCATCCTGAAGGCTAACTTGAGGAAGTCTCCCATATCAAAGGCAAGGCATGATCTTTCCTAGTTCTTTTCTAGTCTTAGATATTCTACTTAAAAACGTTAATTTAAGGTTAAAATTACCCCGTTTTCACCATGATGGATTAAAGGAGAATTTATTAACTGTCCTTTTATATACAGGATGTGGACCTTGATTTCCTGGCAAAAATGACAAATGGTTTTTCTGGAGCCGATCTGACAGAGATCTGTCAACGAGCATGCAAGCTGGCCATCAGAGAGTCCATTGAAAATGAGATAAGGAGGGAACGTGAGAGGCAGACTAACCCCTCAGCTATGGTGAGACACTCTGTACAAATAGCTACTTGAACTGGGTTCAGTTGTATGTGAGGTGGAAGGTACATAATATTTTCTTCTTAACATGTAGGAGGTTGAAGAAGATGATCCTGTACCAGAGATTCGTAAGGACCACTTTGAAGAAGCCATGCGCTTTGCTCGCCGCTCTGTCAGCGACAACGATATCCGCAAATATGAGATGTTTGCACAGACCTTACAACAAAGCAGAGGATTCGGCAGCTTCAGGTAGACGCATTAAACGGCTACGGGCCGAAATGTTTTACAGTGTTAGCTGTAGATGCATTTTCTTATAGCCAGCATTGCCAGAAGGTACTTCTTTACTTATGATGGTACTAGCATTCAGAACAGTTTGTTTAGAACTTCTTAAATGGTCCGTTGTGTAAATAGTTCATCTTTATGTACTGTTTTCACGTTTCTTTCTCAGATTCCCCTCTAGTAACCAAGGTGGTGCTGGTCCAAGCCAGGGATCCGGAGGAGGCAGTGGTGGAAATGTATTCAGTGAGGACAATGATGATGATCTCTATGGTTAACCTGAACCACACGGTGGACCAAAATAATCAATTCAACCAGCCCGTGTTGTAAAAAAAAAAATTACAAACTGAAACCAATTTGATGTTTCTATGACTTTTTTTTTTTTTTAACATCAACAAATCTATCTGCTTACAGATACTGGAGAAAGCATGTAGCTACTCGTCTTTACCATGGTGTATGAAAGAAATTATTCCTGTACCTGTTTTTAATAGATGGACAAGCAGGAATGTGGCATTTAAGAGAATAAATTCTCGGTAGGGTGGGATTTTTCTCTGTTTTCTATTATGCCACCATGCATTTTGGCCACAATAGTGATAGACTGAGAAGGACATCGGTAAAAAATTGTTTTTTTTTATAAACGTAGCATAGGTAATGTATTACACCTTTGAGAATATTATTAAAAAAATAAAATCTTACAAAATGAAACAAATTAACTAGTGATAGTTCCCTGTGTAATGTGGGTTCTTAGTCTAATTTTGTCAATTAAGATAAATCTGCAGGTATGTAATAGTGTGTGTTTTTCCTGAAATGTCATTATAGACATTATGTTTGCAATTAAGCTTGTATTAAGGGACAGAAAATACTTTGGGAGCATAACATTTTAATTTGAGGACAAGTTAGGCTCTTCAATTCTCATTAAAAGAAAAATACAGAAACACTTGTTTGTTGACTAAAATTAACCTTTACCTATTTTTTCTCCGTAAGTTTTCCTTGTAACCTTTATGGTTTAAGTGATGCTGGTCATAGCTTCCTCATTTGATCTCTACATTATATTCTCTCAAAAAAGACTAGATGCTATGCACTGTGTGCAAACTTAAGATGGTTAAATCAATCTTTGTAAATCAACATACGCCATGTATCGCTTTTTCTACTATTTAATATATAAAATCTAAAGTTGCATTAAAATCAAGTCGTGTTGCAGTTAAGTTGTATTATATTTCGTTTAAAGGGAATGAATACATTGTACTAACATTAATGCATACTCTGCACATATTTATGTTTGGAGTATATCAGCATTAACACATATATACATTTGTAGCAGTAATAGAAGAAACCTCAAACATACTACATTTTATCTGTACACCCAAGAGGAGGATAGTATAGGTTTAAAAAGTTTATTACAATACAGCAACATTACAATCAAGTCTAAAATATTTAAAGATAAGATATTAACTGCAACAAAATGAGGGTTCACCAGCAAGTTTTGTAATCCCGTCCAAAATCGCAATCCCAGAAACCCAAATCTTTTAAACAACAATGCGTGAAAAAATTGACATCTGTGATACTTATACATACTCAATTTGAAAATGCGTGGTTTTAAAAAAATAAACATTACAAATCAGAAGTAACGTACAGTGAAACAAAACTTCTTAACGTCTTGAAACGTAAAGTATATAAAGATCTTATTAAACTTTTGGTAACAACATATTTTAAAGTGTTTTTTTTTAATCATCTTAAACGTAAATATATTTATTAGTGACACCTAGTGGTAGCTTTGTGGTAAATAACATGTAAATAACGTTAAACCCAGTACTGCTTAGTGATGACAGTGGGCATGTGAAACATGTGTTTGGCTATATTATTTTGGTTGACATAACATGGATCATAGTAATCCCACTCCATAGGAGATGACAGCTGTGCGTTCGAAAGGCCGTCGCTGTCACAAGACAATATTCTGAGGGAAATTCCTACGACAGAGATTAATTACGCAATTAACATATGACCTGCAAATGGAGAAGTGGACCAACCAACATTAACAAGTTTGATCATCTGCCGAATAAAGTGCGAGTCTATATATAAAAATATAAATGAATATGCTAAAATGCAGTCACTTGCCTGCGCTTGCACCAAAATCGCTGTCCAATCCTGGCCCCACAGCAGAGGAGTTGGCTGAAGCAACGAGGCATAAGTCATCGGGGGGCATACCGCTTTCATATTCGTACTCAAACCCGGTACCGACAGTGTCGATCAGCTCCATCGTGCTACTCCGCCGCATGGGGCCCACGTTTGCAGTGCTCTGGGATTGACAGTTAACACGCAGCCGTCAAGACACTGCACACCACAAACGGTGAACCAGTTTACGGTTACCTAATGTATGATCTTACCCCCGGCGGCGGTCCATTCAGCACGGGGGAATTGGGTGGCACAGTGTTGCCGCGATCCGTCTCCGAGTCGCTGTAGGGCGTCATTGCGGGCTGCAGTCTCCTCCCGCCTAAAGAGCTTCTGCTGTAAAGCTGTGATCTGCGCGGTAGATCCGCTCTCGTCGTCGAGTTGGACGTCGACATAGTGGCTATTATAGTGCTGGGTGCTTTCAAAGACTCCGATCCTCCTGTTGTGGCTCCATCGGGCCTCATGGCTCTGCACCTCTGGCCCAGCGCGGCCCTCTCCTTAGACGAGGTGAGAGATGAAGACCCTGCGGGCTGCGCCAGCACGGGCACCGGGATGGAAAGATAATCTTTCCTGCCTCCATTGGTCTGGGATGGGGTCTCTGAGATTCTGGTAACGTGTCGCGTCGATAAAGTGGACTGTAAGAGCGTGGTTTCGGAACCCCCTCGTCGCCTTTTCCTCTTCTTTTTAGATAGAATAAGTATTTTATATCCTAAAAACATGCAGTTCAACAGCAAGAGGAGAACCACGCAAGGTATGAGTAAGAGAATGAGTAAAGTTAAACTGGAAACAGGTGAACTCTCATTAGAAGCTGAGGGTGTTACCGACGGACCTATGTGCGACATTGCGTCAAACTTCAGATTTCGTGTAAGGTATTTTACAATATTTTAAAAACATAGACATGTGATATTGTGAAGAATGATAAAAATTATGCTTTAGTTATGTAAAAACTGCGATTCCAGTCAGTTAAATGCAGGTGTGCAATATTTCCAACACGTGATTTCCGTCCGTTTGCTCAAAATACTGAATCCCTCTGTTAGTTGTGTGGATATGGCCGAAGTTATTCAGTCTGCGAGTTAATTTAAAATAGCCTAATTAAAAGCCCTCTTGGCTGAAAGCGGTCCAAATGAGCGCGACAAAAAAATCATTCTTAAACCAGGCAGAAAACATGAAATGTGAAAGTGTAGGAGTAGTATACTGAAATACGACGTTGAAGCGGCCTGCGGGGGAATAGTTTTTAAAGCGTGATAATCAGGATAATAAATGAACAAATAAAATTAACCTGCTGTTCATCCCGCTTTTTTATTGTGAGCTTTAGGTATGAATAGAAATGACAACTTTTATGTTGTGAAACCGAATATATATACATTTGTGTACAACTTTAAAGGAAACAAACATGGCTGACAAGCGGATCAATAGCCCCGTTCGTTTTCGCATAAAACGACGGCGAAACCCCGCAAGCTAAAGATAAAGTACTTCTTAAAAAATCAATAGATCGTATGAGAAGAGATGGGAATTATGACTTGAAAGTTTGTTGATATTTCTTGCTTTAGACTTGAGTCCACAGTTGTGCTCTTACAGTTCTTCCCCAAAATGTTCTGCATTCAAGGTGAACAGTCATGGTTATAATAGATTGTCTTCCAGTCTGGAATTAGTTATTTTGTCCATGTTCTGTCCTGATTGTAGCTTCCTGTCCTTGCTAGAGATTATTCATAAGGACATTGAGATCCTCCAGTACATTGGTTTTTCCTCCCTGTAATTGTTTTGTGGGGTGAATTTGCAGCATAAGGTACCAACCACTCAGGGATAAAATGAAAAGCTTGATTATAATTCATGTGTTGAACATGGTAATTTCTAACACCCGCATGCTAACTGACTCGTATACCTGTGTCCAAGTCATCTTTTGGCATGTGATTGCACAGCAGTGACCTGGGAGGTACAGTACTTTAATTGACTGACAGGTGAACCTACTGCAGAATGGCAATATTATAAATTGAAATAATTTCTTAGTTTTTCTTTTAGCTGCCACTTTTAGTTTGTTCCTGAACTTCTTAGCCATCTTGCCTCTGTCTTTACGACCAGCTCACAGGTGTGAGAGGGTGACCGATGCCAACGAAGGCCACTCTCCTGCAATAAGTCATGATTCAGAGCAGTTTGTGCTGCAGTTCAATCTGGTCTGCTTGCCTGATAAGGTGGGGTGTCTGTTCGTTCCGTTCTCTAAAATTGTATGAAGTTTCTAGAGAAAGTGGGACACAGTCCACCTAGTCATACAGTTTTCGACCTTTTTATTTATGTGTCCATCTTCCCGCTGTCCATCTTCTTAGTCAGGTAAAAGACAGTTTTACATTGGATTGGATGACTATATATATATATACACTCACCTAAAGGATTATTAGGAACACCATACTAATACAGTGTTTGACCCCCTTTCACCTTCAGAACTGCCATAATTCTACGTGGCATTGATTCAACAAGGTGCTGAAAGCATTCTTTAGAAATGTTGGCCCATATTAATAGGATAGCATCTTGCAGTTGATGGAGATTTGTGGGATGCACATCCAGGGCACGAAGCTCCCGTTCCACCACATCCCAAAGATGCTCTATTGGGTTGAGATCTGGTGACTGTGGGGGCCATTTTAGTACAGTTAACTCATTGTCATGTTCAAGAAACCAATTTGAAATGATTCGAGCTTTGTGACATGGTGCATTATCCTGCTGGAAGTAGCCATCAGAGGATGGGTACATGGTGGTCATAAAGGGATGGACATGGTCAGAAACAATGCTCAGGTAGGCCGTGGCATTTAAACGATGCCCAATTGGCACTAAGGGACCTAACGTGTGCCAAGAAAACATCCCCCACACCATTACACCACCACCAGCAGCCTGCACAGTGGTAACAAGGCATGATGGATCCATGTTCTCATTCTGTTTACGCCAAATTCTGACTCTACCATTTGAATGTCTCAACAGAAATCGAGACTCATCAGACCAGGCAACATTTTTCCAGTCTTCAACTGTCCAATTTTGTTGAGCTCGTGCAAATTGTAGCCTCTTTTTCTTATTTGTAGTGGAGATGAGTGGTACCCGGTGGGGTCTTCTGCTGTTGTAGCCCATCCGCCTCAAGGTTGTGCGTGTTGTGGCTTCACAAATGCTTTGCTGCATACCTCGGTTGTAACGAGTGGTTATTTCAGTCAAAGTTGCTCTTCTGTCAGCTTGAATCATTCTCCTCTGACCTCTAGCATCAACAAGGCATTTTCGGCCACAGGACTGCCGCATACTGGATGTTTTTCCCTTTGCACACCATTCTTTGTAAACCCTAGAAATGGTTGTGCGTGAAAATCCCAGTAACTGAGCAGATTGTGAAATACTCAGACCGGCCCGTCTGGCACCAACAACCATGCCACGCTCAAAATTGCTTAAATCACCTTTCTTTCCCATTCTGACATTCAGTTTGGAGTTCAGGAGATTGTCTTGACCAGGACCACACCCCTAAATGCATTGAAGCAACTGCCATGTGATTGGTTGATTAGATAATTGCATTAATGAGAAATTGAACAGGTGTTCCTAATAATCCTTTAGGTGAGTGTATATATAAAATGTTTGTTTAGCACAGGGTTCTTTCTGTAAGGATTCCCTCTATTTCGTGTGCTGGAATTATTTCCCTCTGCTGGTCATTCTCAGAATTTTTTCCTGTTAAATCTGGCACTTGTCCCTCAAAATGCTGTTGCCAGTTTGATATCATGCTGTTCCACTGAGTTTCTTTTCTTTCTTTTTTTTCTGTTTGATGAGCAGCTATTAGTTATTCCTCAATGATTAAGATTTTTATGTGCTTGGTTATGAATGATGCACCATGCAGTTTGGCATTCTGAAATATCTGGCTGTGTCCTATAAATATTCCCCATTTAAATATTTTTTTGTGAAGATGGATATTGATAAATGTTTAAGAATGTGGACTGTTTCAGTGGGCCTCAGCATTATTGAATGAAATGTTATAGAACTCTGCAAATTTATCCACTCTGTATACAAGATTCACTTTATTGAAAAAGTATTTGTTGAATATGCAATTTATACTTCTATTACTAAATCAGTTTATTGTGTTTGTATTAACTTGAGGTCAGGTCATTTTCAGACTTTTTTTGTTGTCATCCTGACTAGTCACCTTCTGGAGCTGGCTCATCGTTGGCCTTGGTGTTAATTTTTGTCAGTTTTTAATAAAATTATTCGTCAACAGATTTTTAATTGATGAAAATTAGATGATAAAAAATTATTTTTGATGCCAAGAACTATGATGAAATGTACTGACAAAAAAAAGAGAAATTTCAAAGGCGAATTTGAAACTGATCCAATCAGAAGTAATGTCTTTTATAAGTGTTGGCTGTAGTTGCGCATTATTGGATAATGTTGGTCTAATTGGTTTCAAGCATGTAAACCTTGCAGTTCTGTTTGTAAGCTTGTTACGTCTGTACTAGGCTTGGCCAGCTTTTATTTGTGGGGGACCGTATAAACTCTGGAGCGGATCTACCGCGCAGATCACAGCTTTACAGCAGAAGCTCTTTAGGTGGGAGAATACTGCAGCCCGCAATGATGCTCTACAGCGATTCGGAGATGGATCGTGGCAACACTGCGCCACCCAAGCCTGGTCTGTGCCACATTTGGCTTTAGGTAGGAAAAGAAATACAGACATATCAATTAAAGTTCACATTTAATGTCCTAAAGAATAATAGAATAATAACAGGTAATATCACTAATAAATATGACAATAAAAGTATTTACAGAGTTAAAAAGTTACAAATGTGTGCCATTGTATGAATGACGTGGGCTATGGGCACCCAGGTAGCAGGTCTTTCAATCTACCCCAATCAACTGAAGGTCCGAGACCTACAACACAGGAAGCATATATATCCCCAGTGGCTGACAGTAAAACTAACAAGTGTTTTTGCATGAAGTTAAGATGGGGCTGGTACCGACAGTTGCAAACACTCTTCCATGCATTGTTCGCTACCAATCGTAAAATGTTCAGTGTATACATGCTTCAACGCTGAGCACATGCGTGGTCCAAGTCAAGCAGCGAGACATGCCTGCATTGACATGGAACATACGTTAACTGGATCCGGAAGGAACGGATTGGGTTGGCTGTACAGATCGGGTAGTGACAGACAGGGTGAATCTCAATACCAAGAACACAAAGACCTTACTTGTGGTCTTGGCAAGACCAGTCTTGTGAACTTGCCTTTCAATAACGATCTTGCAGGACCACAAGAACAGAGAACGCACCAGTTGTGGAGTGAGACAGATGTGTACTTGCTGTTCCACTATGCTGTACGCCCAGCTGATTATCTCGGACGTACTATTAATAAATGATACGTAACAAGATCACAAGTACGGTCCAGTACGCATATTGAGATTCAGCCACAAAGAATATCTAGAAGGATCAAATTTCAGTGAGGGGTGTTCCCATTAAAACAGGAACGCCCCTCATCATTTTCATTGGTTCTTACGCCAATGTTATGTTTAACAATACATATAATTGTACATTCACATTACAGCCCCCAAATATTCAAGCATAATTGAATGCAATGCATTTTCATTCAGGCATTATTAAATGCAATGTGTGTTTGTTTGATTGGTGTAATACAACGTGCTTTTTTGCGTCATCGACTTTTGTCATTAATTTAGTTCCACATTGTCCTCAGTGCAAGTACACAGAAAAGCCTTCTTGAACAACCTGCACACACTTATACAATACAAATTGCTTGTGACATAGTCACCCCTCGTTTAGCTTCTTTTTAAGGGATGATCTGCTAGGTACTTGTGTCCCTATCTGACCTGTCTGAATGCAGTCACACCCCTTTCTCTAACCCCCCACCCCTCCCCAGTTCTCCTGTTGGAGATCCACATAATTCCCTTATGTGGTCAAGAAAATCGCCTAAGTCACAAAGTCATCCACCAAAACATGTTACGGCACTGGAGAGACATTTCAGCTCTGAGTGCTGCTGAATTCCAGCCAGGAAACAGAGTTTACTCACAGCTTTGGCTGTCAGAGGCTGTAGGGAGGCCACTGTTTACCTTTCCTCTTCACAGCTGTCCTTATGAGGTGGGCCTTTTGGGTCTTGCACATGTATGTATGGCATGTGATGTGTCCTTATAAATGTTTATTGACCTGTAACAAGTTTTAGAAAATTTTCACGTTAATGATAAAAACTTGATATTAAGTTCAAGTAGTCATCAATAGGTAAATATTACTGTAATATAAAAAAAATCCGCATACATTGTTGGAATGGATCTGATGTGCTCAGCAACGGCTCCACACAATTGTAAGGGCTTGGGCAACTTTTTCCAACACAAAAAATGCATGAAACTATGTGTGTTCTGCCTGGTGGTGGTTTTCTCATGCCTCCTGAGTTTCTCGCTAATGGTTGTTCCTGAGAATTTCAGGAAGTCAACTATCTTGCTGGCCATTTCATTCTTTCTCCAGGGAGAGCAGTGTAATTTTCCATTCTGCCATCAGGATGGCTTTGACCTCCAGGTTATTTTTAGCACATGAGAACTGAAGATGGCCCACTTACCTTCCGTACATTATATTCTTACCACGTGTGATGGGTCCATGAGGCTGGTGTCATCTGTTCCTGGAAGTGCATTCATTAGTGTCCAGGAGTAAAGTGGGGTAGAGAGCATACAGCCTGGTGCTGCGCCTCTGCTACTCGTGCGCTTTTCTAAAATGTGGGTGTCCAACCACACATATTGCCTCCTATTAGTAAGGAATTTACAGGCCTAGTGGCAGAGGGAGGTTGAGTTCAGTTTGAACACTTAGCTTTGCAAGAGTTTTGGAATAATGGAAATGAAATCCTAAACCATGTGTTTAATGCATGCATGCATCCATGCATCCATCCATGCATCCATCCATCTATACTTCTTGTCCTGTGCAGGGTCACAGGGGTCCAGAGCCTATCCTGGAAGTCAGGGAATAACCCAGGATGGGAAGACATCCCATTATGTTTAGCATATGTAGATGATAAATGTATCATATGACCATTGTAGTGAAGACCCATTATAACATTTTAGCATGATTTGCATATTTGTTGGCCATCTTTAGATGAGTAGATGATGAAGCTAATGGCATAAGGTGGAATTTCATAATTACGTTAATTATAACAGGAATAGGTACAAAGGATGTATTGTTGGCTGAGAGAGAGTTTGCTTTGTAAGTTGTAACTAATATAATTTTAGAAGAAATGAGGTAAATAGCAGAGGTGGAGGAGGGGTCTTGCAGGCCAATGGGGGGATGGGAGGGGCATGGGGAAAATTTGCCAACCTGAGACCGGGTCCCTCCAGTGGTTGGTAGAACCAGTGCCCTGGTCCACACTGTGTTTGAGAGACTGGAGGTCAAGTCTTGTCTGGCCATTTCACTGTAGTTCTCATTCCGTAAAACTCACTGGTAACACTTTAGTTACTCTTTAGTTGCATTAGTAGGTGAGTGCTGGAAGAGGGGGGATTGAAAGTGAAGATCTAACTCTGTTGTGTCGGGGATTGGTGTCACGGTACTTTGGATCTACATCTGCATGCTATTTTAATAGATAATCATCAATGTTTGAAAGCCCTTCCAGACAATTGAACATTGGTAAACTAGTTCATTGTCAATAGTAGAAAACATCAAAATTGAAAAGATTAGATTTATGTTTGCACATACCATTTTCAAAAACTTATAATTATGTAAATACATATATTTAGATTAGGGATGCCCATTTTGGATTTTTTCATCACTAATAATCGACACTTGTTAATCGACGACTAACTGTTAACCAAATTTATAATGGATGTGTGTCCATCACCAAATACCAAAATACCAATACAAAAAATTAAGTGCTTTGTTTTTTTTCAAGTGCAAACACATCATGACTTATGTAAGTAATCATCAGCTAGTTGCCAGACTTTGCAATGAACAAAATAGATGTACAAAATGAAGGAAACATTTAATCCTCCAGGCCAAGTGCACTTAACTGGCAGGTCCAGCTTACATCTCCTGTTTAGGAAAATATTGTGTCCAAGCATATCTATCTTTTACCCTCTACGTTCTATGCCTTTACCACACTGCAAACTTAACACTTTTTCTTTTTTATGAACCATTTAACTTAGTAAAATAATTTTTACCAATACTATATCTGTTAAATTCTGAATTTTGAACACCCCTAATTTAGGTATCAGCTAAAAAAACGTATAAATCTTATTCTCAGCAATTTTTGTCACTTGAGAGAACGAACAAACTTGTACTTTCACGGAAGGTTTTACAACCTACAAAAATGTTATCAATCAGCATCTTTTTTTTTTTTTGAAAACAAAGATACATTTTATGGAATTATTACTGCAGTAATGGTGCAGTAAAATGTTTTATTTTTTTCTAAATGATGTCTAAATTTGTTTATGACCAAAAGGCAGGTATGAGACTTGCAATGTTACTGTCACAAGATGGCAGTAATGACTTGTTGGTAGTACTATATATAGTAGTATTGTTAGTAGTATTGTGTTGGAATGAAATGATGACCGGAAAAAATATCTAAACTTAGTTATGGAACTTCTGAAGGAAATTACTAAGATGTTACCATTCTCTGTCAGACACAAAATCGGGTAACGGAAGTACTTCAGTATTTACACTGGTGACTCTTGTGGTTAGAATCAATTGGTATCTTAATTCACAGGAATGTATATTCACACTCAAAATTTAGACAGAAGTCTTCAGTTCTGTGTTACTTTTGAGCCCAGCATTCCCATTTGTCTGGTGTGACAAAGGCTCTGAAGTCAGAGTTGTGGGTACAATGTGTCCCAAGCAATATTAAATGTGGATTTAATGTCAAGTTATGTAATGTGTAAATGTGGATTTAATGTCTTTTTGTAATGTTAAATGTAAGTATTGTTGAGTGAAATCTCAGCCTTGTCATGCTATTGAAAATGACATTACATCCTTTGATTATGTGTAGGTGTTCGATTCCATAAACAAAAAACAAAATTCTGCAGAAATGTTGAGACAATCTTGAACTGGCTGAGAATTTCCACATTTTCATGAGGAGTTGTTATTGTAAGGGCAACTTTTAAGCCTTGGCTTTCTGTTTTTGCAAAAGGTTATCCTAAATAACCTTAATAACACCCTGAAACAAGATATTAGCCAATAATTGCAACATAATTTCCTAGAGAAAAAAAAAAAAACATTTTCAGGCGCTTACAGGATAGGTCAATGAATAAATTTGTGGCTAATTCCGTTCCAGTTGCCCTCACGTAATGGATTTTTTTTCTTGTTTTGGCTCTTTACTACTGTATAAACCCATTTGGATGCACAGATCAACTGTATTCAGAATTTGTCACAGATGCTGGTAAAGGAATGGGTTTACATATTTAAATGTCAAGTTATATAATGTCTGATGTATAGAAGCAATTGAGCAGTTACTGATTTTCCCCCCCCCCCATAACAACAACATTTGATGTATGAATTTATACAGAAATCTTCAATCTTACAACTCAAGTACTATTACTATGAAATACCATTAAGGGTTTATATACAGAATTTGAGCCTTCAACTTGAGCAGTAAACTTTCATAAATGAATACAGGAATGACAGTGTACAGACCGTAAGAACACAGTTGCAGATTTGCAGTGCAGGTTTTTCCTTTGTGCTATTAAAGCTGGTTTCTTAGTAGCCTGATGGGAAACATTGGCACTACAATAATAAATCCAACTTCCTTTTATATTTAGCAGCTAATTGGCTATAGGCCTGCGCTTATTAAATAACCTTGTAAGGGCTGCTGACATTACAGCTTGCTTTGGATTTGCAGTGACCGTCGCGTTTTTAAATACCGATCAACTATGTAACTTTATCCAGCTCAGCCCTTAAAGGTTTATTTCAGGTCAGCAGGCAGCATAATACACAAACTTTTCTGTTAATTTTCACAAGATTGGAAATGTAAGATTGGAAGTATTTTTAAATTTTATCTAAATTATTAATTTTCGAGCAACATATCAACTCAGGGGGTAGCAATTGAGGGTACTCCAATCCCCCCCCCCCCCAGTCCAAAAACACACTAAGGTGAATTGGAGTTACCAAATTGCCCATAGGTGTGAATGATGTATGTGCCCCATCCTGTTTTGGCCCTTGCCTTGCTCCCATAGCTCCCAGGGCAGGTTGCTGACCCCTGTTACCTTGAAAGAGTGAAGCAGGTACATAATTTGGATGGATGCTGATGGGTGTTGAAGTCTCATCTCCACTTGTGTATGTGTGTAGTTTGCATGTCCTCCATGTGTTGTGCAGGTTTCCTCCCGCAATCCATGTACTTGTACATGCCTGTGAATTTTCCCATCTCTTTCTCTGGGTTAGATATAATCAACATTGTTGGGAAGTCCTCCATATAGTGGTTTGAGATGTCATTCTTGCCATCTTTCTTACAGTAATTTGCACCAAAGACGACAAAAAAGTGCCATATAAAACAGGTTTCATATTTTTAATACTTTAATACTAAACTTCACCGCTGTAATTCATGTAACAAAGCATATGAAAATCAAAGCATTTTACACATCAGCCTTAAGAAAATTTGAGTGCATACCCCCATTTAAAATCTTAAAACAAATGTATAAAAGCACTGATTGGCAATTGCCAGAAATGCCTGAGTAGGTAACCCTACTTTGTATTACAATGTCAAGATTGAGTGTAGGTATATATAGCTTATTTTCAAATATTTATACTGTACATGCTATTAGTGTTCAGTATATCAAACTTTGTGTGCTTTTGTACATTTCACTAATTTACAAAATCCTCAACACTTCTGACAATCATTTCATTAGAATTTAATACATCTGTTGCAAAAAAAATCATACAGGCAAAATATATGAAGATAATTAGCCAAGTTTATTTTTTATCATAGATATACATATTAAAACAGGTAATGTGAATAACATAGCTTTCTTTGTTGACATTCCAGTGAAGTTAACTTAATATCGTTCCCGACCATCAGTTTTCAGAGGTAATGGATTACTCTCTACAAGACAACAGCTTGAGTGCACCACAGAAATGCTGCTTCCGTTAAGTGCTCAGTGCTGATCATTGAAACCACACTTCAGCAAGAGGCATGTTGACTTTGGATCTCGTATGCCTCACCAGCAAATGACCTTACTTCATGAGGATGAAAAGAAAGATGTTCAGACTACTCTTTCCCGAAATGTCCAGTGGAAAGGTAAATGTCCAATACAATAAACATGGAACAAGGCTTCAAGGAAACCACTTTGGGAAAAACACGTTGGGTGCCTTTCAGCAGTTATGAAGCTCAGATAATTTAAAAAAGATGTGGAAAAAATTTGCCCCAATCACCTAATGAAAGTTACCATAAGCATATAGCAGTCTTAAACACTGATTTTTTTTTTTTCACCTGCTTGATTGTACAAGATTTTAATTTATCAAATAGGTTTTGTTCTGCTTCGGCCTTCTAGGTGTGTTGAGGTCATGGAAGTTAACTCTCCAGTCTACGACTGTACAATGTAGGAATACATGCAGTTGGAGCCCTAGAGCTAGGATTCTGTGAACTTAAAAAAGCCGACATTATGGAACACTTGTACCACTATTATTGAATACTTCCCTAAACATCGACTGATATGCTTGTTAAAAAGCATACTTGGGCTGCCTATTGTAGGCCTGTAGTCGGCTGCTGGTTTGAGCCAGGTTAAGGCACTCAGGATTTCTCTGTGATTTTTGACCTTGAGTAAAAACCAAGGGAAGTATAAGGCAGTTTAGAATAACACTGGTGAGTCATTCTGTAACACACTGCAATCACAGGGAAAAAAAGCACCTTTCAAATCGAGGCCTTTCCTGTATACACTTTTTTTATTTTAATCAACTAGGTGATATTACCACCTTGGGATTACTAGTTCATATTCTATGTGTAGCATTTAAATTGCAATTGACTGAAATATGCCCAATGTTTAACTGAACTTTTGAAAACAAAAGAACATGCTTGTTCAAATTGAAAATATTCATATAAGAAAAACGAAAGGCTATTGGCACCTCACTGGTTTCCTAAGTTTCATGTAATTTATTTCCTTCTACTCTCAATCCCTTTTACCCTAAAAATATCAAGATGAAAAATAGAGACCAAAACACTAATTTAAAAACGCATCTTGAGTGAAAGTCAGTGATCAACAGGTGCAGAAACTCTTAATTGTTAAAAACGCCAACATGGATCCATTTGCAAAAGCAAGAAATAAATAATGGAAAGATGTCAACTATGTTCTTGTGGCACTTTTCAGTTCTTTCTGGTTAAATATTAATGTCTTTAAAATGATACTAGATGGCTGATTTAAAAAAAAAAAAAAATTAAATTAAATAAAAAAACGAACATAAAAATAAACCCTGGGAAGTTCCCATTTCCCCATGTCCACCTTTCACTCTAAGAAGGCAAGTGCTGTTTGATGATTTCTCTTGACTGAGGGGGTATCCTGTCTGGGAACCGCACCTGGAACTCCACTATCAGGTCCCCCCTCTGAGATGGGCTTTTGGGGTAAGGAAGTCCCTCTCCTCTCAGTCTCTTGACTGTTCCTGGCTTGATGACATCACTGCAAGGAAGGGGAATCACTCTGTTGTCCATGGTGGGAATGTTCACTGTGCAACCACACAGAGCCTGAAAGAGAGAGAGAACAGATCTGCTCAGTGATTTAGTCCTTTTTCTCCCTGGCAACAGAAATGCATCTTTGGAGGAACTCATCACAAGGTCTCATTGGTATTTGTCATTACAAAAATCATTGACATAAGAATGCAGTGGTGTCATTTATTGCTACTTGGTTACTGCTGTTCATATTACGTTGTCCCCATGTGAAACATCAAGCTGTTTATTCTGATTGACACCCTGAACTTCTGGATCTAGGAACCTATTAGGAATCCCTTAGCTCACTTGTATGGAAATGCAAAAATATCTAAACTGTTAGAAATAATGCCATTATATAATGATGTCCCAATTGTGCAAACCAGTTTGTTAGTGTTGCACTTGGTTTGTCATATTGATAAAGTACCTCTATTCTGTATCTGGGTAATTGGCTGGGGCAGACTGCAGCACTAGTGCGCATGTATGTCTCTCGCCGGAAGATGTACGTGTGTAGAATGCGGGGGTGTGGGGATGTGCTTCTGAACATGGCGTACGTCTGCCTTTGAACAGGCGTGGGAGTGTGTGACTATGAAGCAGCCCTTGCCTGGATGACTTAGCGTGGGCGGGAGTGACTGTGGCGTGTGTGTGAGTGAGAGCCCTGGGGGGCGGGGGTGGGGAGCTAAATATAGCTGCCACTCTCATTTCTGAGGGCTGATGAGGTAGCTGAAGAATCAGCTGATGCCATGAATTATTCGGGGTTTGTCAGCCAGCCTCAGACTGAGCAGGGGCAGGCAGGGATACAGTGTGGGCAGGCAGAGTCGCTCCGGAGAGAGGAAGGAGGGAGGGAGGCAGAGAAGGAACAGAGCACAATATGTTCCAGTCAGGATGTACAGAAAATCACCTAAATTACTTAGGCACGTACTGTTTCGTGGCGTATCTAGAATATGCACTGAAAGATGGACTTAAGGCACAACCAAAAGACATTAATCAATTCAGTCTTGCACGATTCCATTAAATCGTGGCTTATAGCGGTATCTTTTTTTTTTGTTCTGTTCTTTTTGAGTGTCAGTGGATACAGAAATTGTGGATTTGCCATCAATCAGACCTCCCAATATAAACATCCCCAGACATGGCGAGATTACAGCTGCCACAGGGGGCATAAAGCATTCAATTGCACTGACATCAGCTGCCTCCTAAAGGATTGCCTTGAGGAATGAATGGAAAGAAATAGGTTGTTAAAAAAACTCTCAAACATCTAGGCTTGCAGAAGGAGCAGCAAGCTGTTCTGGGACCAAAGCAAATGCGCTAACCAGGACCTCCGCTGAAACGCGTTTGCAGAGCACAGGGGCTTGATTACAGGGCTCATAAGGAGCTGAAGAAAGGTGGTGCTTCAAAGGATAATGGAAAAGGTGTCTATGTCCTCAGTCTGAACCACAAGGGTGGGTGGGTGGGTGTACAGTCAGGGTATATGGGACACCTGCATTGTATCTTTACAAAAAAAGAAAAACCAACATCAGCAGAAATAGGTATAATGGTGTAACTGATTCAGAACATTAGCACAGAGCTGCTGAACTAAAGGCAGGTTTTAATTAAAATGCGACTCCCTAGCCCATATTCCCTGTTCCTGGGCAGAAAGAGGCTTTAGTGGGGCCAAAACTCCTGGGTTGGAAGGTGGCAACCGGATTCAATGTAACAAAATATTGGCACCACACTGGCCAACTGTTATTTGCGACAACTATGACGGCCACTCACTGGGGGGGACAGGAGGTCCTCCCTGCTGGTGCAACGAAACCAGAAATAATTAGTTTTATTGGCTAGACAGCATAGGAGAGCGAAGATGACAGTGCCTTCCTGTTGGGCCAGAGGTAGCTCAACGTGATGGAAGTTAAAAGAAATGTACAAAAATCAGTCTCTGCTGGGGGACATCCTATTTAAAATATTCAAAATGAGTGAAAGACACTTGTGGTTCTCTACTAAGCTACACTGCTAATCCTTACAGCAGACAAACAGAGGACATTGGTTTTAAATCAGCAGTAAGGTAATATGCTTTTAAAATTTAACTCCAGTCCTATCCTTGGTTCAGCTGTAAAGTAACCACAGATCATCCCTTGGTAAATGGCAGAATTTTGCTTTTAGTATTAAAAACTGATTGAGTACTTATTTCAGGGCACAGGTGCGATAAAAATAGCGTGGTTTCTCACATTAGCCTTTGATGCCTAGGAACCACTCTCATGGGCATCTATGTTTATCCCAGGAAGGGAGCCTGGCTATTTGCTCTTCTAAATAAAACCAAAGGCTTGTCTTATTACCAAGGTGCTAAATATTGACAAATTGTTCAAAACAGCCTCTGTCCCAGGATAACACTGCTAACTTGATTAGCATCAAGTGAATTGCTATTACTCCAAACGTGTACAGCACAACACCGATTCATTTGTGAGAGTATTATGGGATGACCAATCCACAGCAACGTGTGATAGTATGAAAGGTTGTTCCTTGATGTTTTGCTTTCAAAGAGAGATATACAGAAAACTGCAGAATGACTTGGCCCACCAACACAACTGTATTATGTACAAAAGCTCCCCCCATCCCTGCCAATAAATTAATAGCTGGTAAACAAAAACCTCCATATAATGATGTATCCCAGGGCCCCTCCTAATAGGCTGAGTGCAGCAGAATAAAACTGCTGTGTGTAATTATGTCAGCCTTTGGGGAAGCGGGCTTGCTGCAGTGAAACTCCGCAGCTCACGTAAATCTGGCAGCTGGAGATCAAAGCACTGCAATCGCTCACTGCGATGTGCTCAGTCACGCTCTGCAGACCCAGAGCCCTGCCGCCCTTTTTTTTTTTTTGTCATGTTCCAGACTGTCTTCATTCTCAGAACACGAATGGGCTCCTTCCACTGTAAATGGGTGGGGGGGGGGGGGGGTTTTTTTTAAATTTTTGGTTTGCATGAGTTTTAGCAGTGATGCCGGGTGGATAGGGGGGGAAAACGGCTTTTTTCAGGGCCCTCTGGATTTAGAAAATCTGCAGCAAATTTAAAATCCAGCCCAGTTTTAATCAGCCATTCCGTCCCTGTTCAGTCTTTTGCTGTCTGCTGGTAAGTGGTATCTAAATAAAGTCTGTCACACTCACCTAACAGAAAGCTCTCCTCCCCCGACTCCAGCTAGGCACGATTCAACAGTAACCTTTACGGGGGGCTGTAATTTAATCAGCTGCCGAGACACGGAATCTCGGCAGAACTTGCAAGGGTCTAGAGCTCTGCTCTGTCTGTAGCAACACAGCCGGTACTCTGCAGCGCATGCTAATGATGAGAGCTCTGCTAGGCAGAACATTCACAGCCACAGAAACCAACAGTACAGAAGCAAAAAGAGCCTCCATTTTGTAGATCAGTGTGGCGATGGTCCAACAAATCTACACTTAAACTGCTGCTGTATGACTAATATTAAACGCACTGTAAATGGTCTTTGAAGGTAATCGTTCGTCTTTAATCCCAAACCACTGACACACTGCAGCAGTGCTGGAGAGCTGCCTTTCCTGCCTTTCCTCCATACGAGTCTGCATCTTCGCATGCTACTGTGGTCTCTGCCTGGCCATACTTGTATTGGCCTATTCAAATTGAGGTTTGTCTGTGCATGACACCAGGGCACTAAATTCCTTGGCGCACACACACCCAAGGGACAGAGTGAAGTGGTCCTTGTGCCAAAATCTTTAATGTTGGGTGGTGGATCACATAGCAGAATGCAGGCCACTTTCAGTAACACTGATATGCTGACAAGTAATCAAAACAAAATATAGAACATAATTTTTAATTATTCCAGAAGGGAATGTTACTTTGAAATCTGTTAATGGTTAATAACATTATATCATTCTGTGTAACCGACAAATTAACAAGAATTTGAATTAGCCTATTATGTCCATAAATATTACATCTCATCATGATTTTATTAACTCTATGTGCACTGTGCCTCCCTAGAGTTTACTTTCAGGCTACATTAGGGCATCTCCAGCCACACGTTGCACAGATGAACTGAAGTTAATATAAATATTTTCCAAACCAAGTTTTTTTTATATATTGGCCAAATTTTTTTTGCATGCTGTTGCTGTTAGCCAGCTAGCATTAGCTAGGTACCTCGAAGGTGTGGCAACAAAAACGTTTTTAAATTCTGTTCTTACTGATACAGGACTATTATATTGGGGTTGAAATGCAAGAATGGAAACATTGAAATATATATTTTTTTTCTCAGAAATAATTATTTAAAAAAATATATTTTTGAGCCCAGTAATAGCTATCGATTCAAGAACTGCAGTTTTCTATTGGCTTTTTGCCACTTAAATGAAAAATAAAAATATGGCATAAAACTTTTAAGTTGTCATTCTCCCTACGATACATCAAGAAAGGATGGTGACTGCAATTCATTTTTTTCACCCTTAAAAAGGTGCCCAACCTTGTGTCACTTCTAGTGTCAGGTACTCAGTACAAATGTCCTGCAGTTTTGTAATGGGTGCAAGAGGTCAGTTGAGCAGGTGTGTGCAGACACATAATTGATTATTCATTTGCCGATGTCTAACCTCACACTCTTGTGGCATCTTAGGCCAGATTCCTAAGACGACTACCTCATCGTACTGCAGTCTTTAAATTAATTTACAATCCATGAAAGCCTGGCTTTCAGGCACAGCCCTGGAGAGTGGACAAGCTATCAAACTCAAAACCCAGGTATAGGCTGATGTGTGTATCATATCTAAATGCAGAGTACACAGTTTAATTTAATGTGTGTTAAAACTCTTGGTTAATAGAATATAGAAGAGGCCTTATCTCCATTTATTAATGAGGTGTGATCTAACTGGAGAAGTCTGAGGAAGGCAACAGAAATGGTAGACATCTGAATATAATGTAATTTCCTGATGGTTAATGGCAGTTCACTGAGATTTAAATCTCTCCAAATGCACTGAATACAGCTTTAAATAGTTTAAATGGCAGCAGGTGCTCAGGGGCTAGAGGTCGAGAATCCCGCTGTTTGTTTTAACTCATGTCTCTGAGGAGACCATGCCTCTGTGCACAATATTTGGACTGTAGCTGCCCATATGACCTCAAGCTGTCATTTCATGTTGAACACCTTTGTCTGCTAAGGAATTGTCTGCTACAGTTTTGGGAATCCTTGATTTTAGAAACCTACCTCTTTAAGACTGATCTTGGCAGTGAAGACTATGTTGGAGCCATCTCTTTTGAAGTGGGGGTGCCCTTTGTCTTTGAGGACAAAAGCAATGTCGGCAGGAATGTTCTCTGGCGTTTCGTCACCCTCTTTGGGGAAGGTGATCTTGGTCCCTTCCTTCCAGCCCCTCTTGATGATGATGTTGAGGATTTTGTCCTCTGCGCGCAAAGTCTTGCCATCGGGGTTGAGGCGCCGCCGAGTGATTTTCATGCGTTTGGTGCAGCCGTGGAAGATCTCCTCCAGGGAGACTCGGAGCTCGTGCACCACCGGTGGGTCCTGCACCTTGCGGCGGCTGTGCAGGGCGTCGGCGTGGTGACGACGACCGCCTCCACCGCCATGGTGAAACCCGTTGATGCCATTGAAACCGAAGCGGCTAAAGGCGTTGAAAGGGTCATCGTCCCCATCCAGCTCGATGTCCATGTCATGGTCTCCGAAACCATTGTTAGAGCCTCGGGTGCGGCTTGACCCGAAGAAAATGTCAAATGGGTTGGAGCCACCAAAGAAGGAGGCAAAGGTGGCATGGGGATCTCCATGGAAGGTGTAGTGGTAGGTGTTCCCTTGGCCTCCAGTAGATCCACTTCCTCCAGCTTTAAGACCTGCAAAGCCAAATATGCGAGGATTTTGACATTGATTGCCAGATATACAAGTACCCCATTACATCCTAAATACCATGACACAAGAAATGGCAAAAGTAAATCAGTCTTGGGGATGCATGAAAAAGTACAGTTTGCTTGCACTTGAGCGGATTTTCTTCACTTCTGGATGTGAACAACCTCAGCTGTTATGGCTACAGCACCTCTGAACTGGAAACAACATCTATCATCTCTCTAATAGCTAATCACTATACAAATACATATTTCTATTTGGAAACTTGTACAAACACAACAGCCCATAAACCATATGTCATTTAGACAACATGGCCTTTTCTAAGGCTAATGATATTGGCCATGTCCGTTTTTCCACAGGAGGATTACAAAGATTTGGTTTATGTTAAGGAAAAGGTATCCACACAGGATACTCTATCAATTACGCTGATATCTTTTGCAGTCCATTACTCTTTAACAGAGGAATACATTGGTTAAATATAGTACAGAAGCAAAATGTTGTGTGACTCATAACCAAACTATCCTCATGATTTTTCATATTGATATCGGACTTATGTATGTATTATGTATTTTACTTATTTTTGTTTAAATACAACACCTGGTGAGTTGTCCTGAATTTTGAACACCCTCTCCAGCTCAACTTTAAAATTTTTGTAGCTGGCATCAAACTGAGTAGCCAGAATTGTAAATTCACACTTCAGCTGGGCTCTGAAGGAGCAGGCTTCTGTGAAGCACCCTGCCGCATTATTATCCCATGGATGAATTTAGCAGCGTTTGCTGTCACTTTGAATATATCAGGAGCATCTGCCTGCATTTACAGTACTTAAGGCTCTCCTCAGCCGAACAAATGACTGACACAGTGCCTCTCATGGCCGGTGCACGTTACTAATTTTGACAGTCCTCATTAAATTTGTCCTGTAAATATTTACAGCATCAGTTGCAAAAATCTCTGTATAGTTCTGTTCTGTTGCCCAGTATACATTCCCCAAACAGTCTTGTTCCTGGAGCTCCAGATATTTTACATGGAAGAAGTAACTATGTGACAGGAAGTAAAAGGACCCACTGTTTGTAGTTTTTGAGTGCTAAGGTCACACCAATCTGTATACAGCTAAAGATAGATTGATTATCCTGGCACCAGACATGGCATAGAGGGCGTGCGAGAGAAACAGTGAATCACAGTGTGTGGCCTAAGCTGAAATCACACTGTTACTTCAGTCTTATTTTTGGTTTTTCTGCACTATGCAGCCAGTTTATTTCTGTTTTTGGAAGCTGTATAGTACTCATTTCTGCTACCACCTTCAATAGTTCACATCCACTTCATGAATTCTATAACTTATAAGTATTCTGGCTTACATTACTAATGTAAAATATTTTTGTCTCATTTACAGTTTCTTTCACAATTGATAGACATTTATTGCTTCCAAAAATAATTAGCCCACCTGGGATTTCCATCATATAAAAACGGCTTCATTCATGCTTTATTCATAAAGGTTATCATCAACTTGGCACTGATTCCACATAACACAGCTAAACTTGACTGAAATGTCAGGAAGTTCTCACCTTCCTCCCCAAACTGGTCATAGATGGTCCTCTTCTTTGGGTCACTCAGCACCTCATAGGCCTCTGCGATCTCCTTGAACTTCTCTTCTGCATTGGCGTCCTTGTTTTTATCTGGGTGGAACTTGAGGGCCATTTTTCTGTATGCCTTTTTGATTTCATCCTCATTGGCGCCAGACTGGATGCCCAGGGTTTTGTAGTAGTCCTTCCCCATAGCTTTGATGGACAGACAGTGCACTTCTGGGACCACCTTGGCTTGCTGACAAACAAGGCCATGAAAGTTAGCTAGTCATGCTACCAACATCCGAGTAAAAGCATAGCAAGGTACATATCAAGTTAGTGGATGAATGCACAAGGAAATTCAATGAAAGGCTAATCACATGGAATGTATGCAAGCTGCTATAAAGCATTGTGACTGGGTGCACTCCTAACTCCCAGAAACAATTAAATTAAGAAAATAAAATTATGAGCAATGAAAAGTGATGAAGAGTATGTATTCATCTGAAGTACACAGCTGAAGTATTTCATACTAAGCAGTGGGGAGGCACTGCTCAAAGACAGAAACCCGTTTTCCATTCAAGGGGTATAAAGCAGCATAAACTGGTCGGGGTCATTCTATAGAATTCTACAGATAATGCATTTGTCACAGCATACAGGATACATACTAGAAACACAAGGACAACTGGTTAATTGGGTGTTCAGCCTTCTAAAGACAAAAGTGCAGAACGGCTGGTTTGCTGTCGGTCTGCCCACTTCAAAAGTCGAAATCTCAGACACGTTAAATCGTCTTTTACATAATTGTTTTCAAAGAAGTGCGTTCTACTGGGTAAAGCGATACCATGATATCAGTATTACCGCTTCTATAGACAGGGTTTACTGCAAAAGGCAAATGATTACCTAATGCACATGCATGTACATCAACGAAAACTGTCTGATACAACAAAGCTGCTTCTACAAGGAAACACTCACTGTTTAACGTCGATATGCAACGGAGACCAAGTTGCAAAGACAACCCGTAAAATACTGTTGATATAGCCAATTTGTGCCATAAAAAAATTATCCGTGAATGAACAAAAGATCACCGTGTGAATGGCTGGCACCGGGAATGCGGCAACTCGTGTGCGGCCGAGAAAGATCCATTTGACAGAACGAGAAAAAAAGAAACCGGCATATACAAATGCTTTAACATTAACCTGATAGCCAATACACCCAGACTTGGCAGTGTAAGCATACATACAGCAGCGTTTTACCTTAATTCCTCCCTAATCGCGGTCAGCCGGTCCTTTGGGAAACGACTGACGAGATGTACTCCCCAAATATGAAATAGTCGGCTATACTACCAGGCTGACGTCAAGTAACTCCTAAAATAACCCCGGATTACCGGGAACCATGAGCATTTTAACTAGACAGAATTTAAAACATCATTCAGATTTAGAACAATACAATAAAGACGTGTAATTTTTAACAGAAGTAATTGTACAAATGATAAATATAGTCCTCCAATCCTCAATTTACGTCCCTTTTTATCCAGTTTCAAGAAAGCACATTACAAACCATTCAGACCAGTAATCTACCGTGTAAAATGCATTGCATCATTAAACTATCAATCAATTTAGGAAACCTAGAATCTAACCAACGGTTATCATTTGAAATAAGATGCTCTAGTATGGATAAAATAAATTCAGTATGGAATAAAGAAATACTTTGCATTATAAAAAGTCAATTCTGGAAAAATATGCTGTACAGTCTATAGAATAAATGCTCAACAGAAAATGTTTAACGCTTTGACACGTTTATGTCTGTTAAGTAGAAGTTTTGTGAAAAGGCTGAAGACTGGCACAAAAATCACTTGTAACAGGCATGATTCCAATAATGACAAACAAAAACGGTTTGCGAGGTAACATGAATAAGTATTAATGCATTAAATACAAATGGAATTTTAAAATGATAAAAACTATGAAAATCATGAGTAATAGTTTTAAATCTTACCCCCATTATCCAGTTGTCATTTCTGTGTATAACACGAACTTTACACTTTAGGTTTCTGTGTTTTAAACCAAACTGAGTCCAAATCAAAACCATTTTGACAATGAAGCAAATCTATATGCGCGCCCGTATTTTATATAAAACCCTAGGACCTTACCGTGTCCGAGTACCGCTTTGCTGACTGCCAGCCTCCGCTTCTCTTGTAACCCTATTCCACAAACTCCGCCTACACAACGCGGCTCAGGATCCCGGAAAATCCGCTGTCTACGTACTATAGGGAATTACCATGTCAATCGACACCCCTCGCCAGTCATTGGGTTCATTATCCTTCAATCACATCCGATTCTCCGCCCATTTGCCCTTGAAATGTACGTTTTCCGGTATTCTCTGTGTGCTGATTGGTTCTTAACTTTGCAGGGATTTTCTTTTTTCGGATTATTTATTTATTTCATACTACGTGGGAGTTTCTTTGAACAAAATCGGCGTTTTTGTAGTTAATTACAGAAGATCTTATGTCACAGCTAAACCTTGATTGGTATGAGCCGACAATCCCGCCCCTCATCGTCGACATTTTCACATGCTTGGCCAGAAGCTGCGGCATACCCTTGGTTATGAATCAGAATCGGAGCCGCGGGGAACCTTCCTGTCTTTACATGGAAAGTAACGGTGTATGACCAGTTTGCCAATGCCTACATAACCGTTATCACGAATGACATGTATGTCGAATGCCCGGAAAACTCATCGTTCTTGCTTATTAGCATAAAAAACTTTTAAGATGCGCACTTAAATCCATAATTTGGTTGAAATTGGCCAAAATGTAATGGAAAAGACGCGGGTAAAAAGTGGCTATTTCTTTTCAGAGCTACGTTGATGTTATTCATTCAGTAAAACTATATCACGGGATCATTTATGATGAATAGAGTTTGTAGAGAGCAAAAAATTGCGTACATTTTGCAATTTACCGATGAACATCTTGGTGTCGGATTTCCTCTTTGTAGTAAAACAAAAAAGTAATGTAACACATTAGAATATAAATTGCTGGATTACCGTGATTTTTAATAGAAAATAACACAAATATTTATTATTATCTTATTAAACATTTCCATTGGTACAACAGAAAAAATTATAAATAAACAACAGAATTTTCATGTATATGAATGGACTAGGTAAGGTAATGAGATTAGTTATGAAACAGCGCGGTAAGGTGTTCTGCGAGTTTGTCTGCAAAGGACATAAATGGTTATACTTCCTGTTCCATCACTCAGCCAATAGGATGGCGAGGATTCTCCACAGAAAAAGGAAATAGAGACAAATTTGGTCTTGTGCTCATTATTAGCGTCAGAGAGATCCCCGCGGCTCTTCAGCACCAAATATGAAAAAGACCGGAATTAAGAGCTATATGCATTACACAACTATTATACAACAAGTAATAAAAAAAAACATTTCAGACATTAAATACATGTCTTAATAGAAATCAACTTTGTTTATATGACATTTATACCATATACTTTTTTAGCCAGTAAATATCAAAATGCTGAAAATGACTCCTATTGATTTCTAAACTGCAATATATTTTAGTGGTATGCATGTGAAGGCCTGTAATTTGTTCTGCTTTGTTCAAATAGTCAGAGGAATCTTACTGGATAGTAAAGCTAATCTTAGCAAATCTGTATCATTTTTAATGATGAGGACCATCCTCTTAACATACAGGTAGATGAAGCTGGTTGTGTAGTTGGATTGGTAGTTGATGAAAATAGTGATAAAATGAAAATAGTGATAAAAAATGTTCGGCAACACTTTACTTGAAGCAGTCTACATAAGGGTGACATGTAACCATCATAAGAATGACATGATACATGTCATGCACATTAATGACACATTATTGATGTTTATGACTGTTGTCATAATGTATCATTCAGTTCCAAAAAACGAATGATACATTATGACAACAGTGATGTTAATGACAACAGTTATAAACATCAATAATGTGTTATTAATGTGCATGACATGTGTCATGTCATTCTTATGACGGTTACATGTCTTCCTTATGTAGACTGCTTCAAGTAAAGTGTTACCAAATGTTCCATAGATATAGCAAAGCAGTTGGCACATTATTTCTCTTGCTTCCTTTGATCCCCACTAAATGGTTTAGACGTCTCAGTGTCATAAATCTCCTGTGTTCCAATATTTTGAAGCAATCAGGAATACATTTGCATTTGCATAGCTGGCACTCATATCTCTTAAGCTTATTACCCAGTCATTCCATACATGCCGCATATTTTAAAACATTTTTGCATTTGTATTTTTATGCTATGACTTATGTGCAGAATTTTCTTGGAAGCAATCTTTATAATCATGGTACATTTTGTATTTTCTGAATAATATGCTAATTTCATCTGTCTGATATCAACTACACTGAAATATTTAGGCCCTGTTTTTTTTTTTTATTTCTCAGCCTTCTGTGGGGAGACACTTAAAGTCAGGTAAAGTCACATAAACCTCCAAGGACACACATAAGAAAAGATGAGGCACTAAGTCAGGTATCACAAGGCTAAAGATTTTGTTTTCACTAAATGCTTTTATGTGGGAAAGTGTATTGCTGAGTGGTGAATCAAGTATAGTGTTTGATTATGTGATCAGACTCAGTATTTCAAAACACCCCTTTTGACAGTGTGAGTACTACCAAGCCATAACAGATAAATCTCTAAAAATAAATGGAGACAGAGGAATACAATATAGCATTGCTGCACCACACCTGGGGGCTGTATTCAGTCCCCCCCCCCCCCCCCCCACCTTGTCATTTGGGTTTTTTATCCACTATCCATGAAAATGCAATTACATGAGAGCTGCATCTGTGTTTGATTGACTGGAATCCCTTTCAGGATACTTCTCAGTCCTATACTACCTGGGGCAGATTCCGGGTCCCCACAACACACCTGTGCTGTATAAATAGTTATACTATGGATGGATGGATGGATGGATAATCATGTTGTAGAATTAGGAGTCAACACTGATGAATACCTGTTTGTGAAGAGTTATTAACTGTATTTTTAACCAACATGAGAGAATGGAAGCTGCACACAAAACACTGGAGGCCATTGTTGACATGGATGAGGTTGAATGTTCATGCAATATAATTAGGTATCTGTTTTGCATGCTCAAGGAATTATATACAAAATGATATGTGTTTATAAGTTGTCAAGAAAATACTTGTGGTTAACCTGTGAATAAAAGGTCTTCATTCTGGTATCTGGTTGTCTCTGTGACTCTCTGCCCTTGCAGCTCTAATTGAACAATTCAGTTTGGTGAATGAGATTTCTTTATATAAATATATATTGGTTTAAATAAATTATAAGTGGTGCATTATTTTCTATAATTGATAAGGAGGCAATAGTGGCATTTTGAGATGGATAAAAATGTACCGTAATCACAGGTTCACAAAAACCCAGAAAAAGGAATAAATAGCTGGATCATGCCAGTGAGTGAGAGTGACATGCATCAGCTGTTAGGCTTTATTTAACGCTCAGTGTCAATCTTCCTCACGGGAAGTACGAACAGACAAATGTGGGATGTGGGGGGGGGGTGGGGGTGCATCACTCTGTTGTCCGTCACGACCGTGGAGTGGCAGGAGGTCATCAGGGGGCTCGTGCTGGGGGCTCGTGCTGGGGGCTGGGGGCTCGTGCTGGGGGCTCGTGCTGGGAGCTGGGGGCTCACGCGGGCAGGCGCCGGTGCGTGACAAACATGCCACTGGAGCAGTGGGAGAGGAGGATCGTGGTGTACCGTGGACAAGATGTACCGAGTGAGGCGGAGGAGGAGGAGGAGGAGGAGGCTGCCGGCGTGACGTCCCATCAGCTGGGCCGCTGAGTCACCCCCCCCCGAGCAAAGGCAGTGGGGAGGTGTGAATGAATGGAACGGCTCGCTTTCTCTGTTCTCCCGATGAAGGAGGAGCATCCTGTAGCCGGTATGGCGGAAGTGGAGCGAGTGCTGGGTGTGCAGCATGCCTTCCCACGCACTACAGCACCAGCACACAGCCGCCGTGCTCGAAGGCTCTCTGTCTGGCGCAGGCTGCCATGTGCTGTAAATATCAAGCCATCTTTATAACCTCCCCAGTTAGTCACGATATAAATCCACCAAAAACTGTAGCTAGTAGCCTCATCCATGGTCAGTGATTGGTGCCTCTTAAAGTAATACAGACGGATTACTGTTATTATTTTTAGAAAACTACAATCATTATCATAGGTGTCGCTAGACCCCTACTGGGGCCTGTGTCCCAGTAAAATCAATTATGTCTTGCAATGACTCTGGTCATAATTATAAGCACAGACTGGGGAATATGAACTGGGAGTATGGGGGAGACGTGTCCCCCCAATATTTAATTGGGCTGTATTCATCCCCCTAATAAACAAACCTTGGTATTTAAAATATTAAGTTGTGTCCCCCAATATCAAACTCTCTCTTTTGCCACTGAGCACAGAATATGCATAGTTTGAGTATCTGTGTGGAAGGAGGTTTATATTAAAAGGTTTATTAGATAAGTGATTTATTCCTTTCATCTGCAGCATTAGATATTCATTCATCCATCCGTGTTCTAACTGCTTATCCTGGTCAGGGTTCTCAGGATTGCCCCCTGCTCCGTCTTAGTTATGTCAGTTTCCCTGTTGGCCAGTAGATACTGCTGGTCACCCCGGTGTCCTTGGCTTGATCTGATATCTTTGTTATTTTAGTCTTTCCTGGTGAATCCTTTGTCTGATTGCCTTCACCTGTGCTCCTGTGTCCTTAGTGATTATCAAATGCCCACACCTGACTCTTGTTCCCCTTATTGTGTGTGTATTTATGTGCCTCCCCCTGTTCTTCTTGTCAACGGGTCATTGAGTCAATTGTGTTGCTTTGTGTTTGGTCTCAGTTTTGCTGTGAGTATTTGTTACCTAATCGTGTAGTTTGTTCCTGTGTTGCTCCCTGCTTTAGTTCATTGTTTTCTACCCACCTACCTGTGTTTTAGACTCCTCGTGGTTCCTTTTGTTTCTTGTTTTGTTTTGCTTTACTTTACTTTAAATAAAGTCCCTTGTCTTGTTTTGAGCCTCAACGCAGATTGTCCCTGTATGCTTCACCATGCCCGTCTGTAATTATTTATTGCAGGCAGTGCAGGGCATAAAGCTGGAGTACACCTTGCGCAGGATGCCAGTCGTTCAGTAT